GTGTCATGTGGTAACAGGCCTGTCCTCCTCACCCAGGGGACAAACTAACATAGACAAACAGCCTATGGAAGCAGCAATGGCATGGCTTTTCTTCAAATTGGAGTTGGTGTAAACAGAAACCAGTCTAACTTCACCCAGTCACACACCCAAGCATACATCCAGGAGAGCAGAGAGACAACAGGGGGTCGGGTTACTAAATACAAAAGATACCACAACAGTCATTCCACTTCAGGAAGCTGAGTCTGGAACAGGACCTCGAAACTTTAAATATAAACCACATGTATTACAGAATTATCGGGGTTAAGCTGTGCTTTTAAAAGACTGAATCAATCTCTGTCATAATAACCATCTAAGTTGTTACGACATAACGCCCTGTCTGTAACACAAACGTTGATACAGGCCACACTAATTACATTACCGATGTAGTGACGTCGCTCTGCCGTCACAATGCACAGTCACACTTTTTGACTTTCTGTTAGAATTAAACAAAACCAAAGTGTTGTTATTCTCATTCAAACCCGCTCGCTACGCAAACGTATGTAACAAACACAGCGTTGTTTGTTCTCAGCCCTCCCCTGCCGCTCAGTTGACGGTTGGGCCTCACCTTCTCCTTGGTGCGGCGATACTTCTGCGGCTGTTCAAGCAGGCAGTGGCTCTTGACGAAGCCATTTTTGGTCGCATTCTTGCCATTCGAGCTCCGGTGACAAGCGTCCCCTGTAAACGGCTTGTTCGCAGAGCCCTCCGTCATCGTCGTAGGTCCACTTATGACAGTAAAAAATCAAAAACTATAGAGTTAAACGTAGAGTCATGTATGAACTGCGAGAAGACGACGGATTCAACGCCCACTCTGTTCCTCTGCCGCACGAGCCAACCGGAAATCACCGCCCACCACCAGCGTCATTGGCCAATGGCGTTACTCGTGTACTGAGATCGTCTATTTCCCGTACGAGGGCAACAAATGATTTAAATTGATTTCAACGGCAGTTAAAGAAATTTGCTTAACAATTTAAATATTTGAATTAATCCTAGTGTAAAATAATCTAAATATCTTTTAAGATTATCCGTCAAGATAATTTTAAGTGGCTGCTGATACATAGCAGATCGACCTGCTTTCTCCTACGGAGGATTCACTTAAAACATTTGAAATGCTGAGTTTTAAACTTGTATTATTATTATTATTATTATTATTATTATTATTATTATTTTAAATGTCATTTCTACATAAACTACTTTTATACAACAATATATTGGCAGAGTGAGAGGTCTTTCCACTGTGCTCTCTCTGCTGGGCGTCACCCTCTTGCCTGTGCTGGGATGTTTCCACAACCCATAATATTCTTTGCTTGCTTACAAACGTCCTCCTACCCTCGTCCAGTGACGCTCACATGTACTCATACCATGCAAAGCAAGGGTCAAGGCCACCACCAAAAAGATTCCCATAAAAATTAGGTGTGGCTGTGTTATTACTCCTCTGACTTATCCTGGAAGTGACGTATAGCGTTTAGGGTGGTTTAAAGTCCACTTTGTGGATAATTATGGAACATATAACAAGACTGTTTTTTCAATGTTTGAAATATTAATCCCTCGGGAGTCTCCTTTGGGAAATTTTTAATCATGACATGTCATGTTTCAGCTTTGGGTTTTAATTTTAACCTTTGTTGTCATTTTACCACATTAATCTTATTGAATTTGACATTATCACACAGATACAGTGTTAAACTATGGAAATTAATCTGTCAGCTAACAAGTGGTGCTAAGATCACCCTTTTATACGCTTTAGTGTTTATAGACTGATGGACCAAATGAAAAAATACAAAATGGCATGAGAACTTCATGTTCTACCAGTAGATGGAATAAAAACACGTCTCTGTGTTGAGGGAATACAGTAATACTAAAAGAATTTCCGTTGACCACTGACTTGTACTTCCTTTCTTTTCCTGTTATGGTCTCACCCTACGTGCCACTTTGCAGGGGTTGTCTGGTGTTCCTCTGTAGTAAAAAAAATGATTAGTGGGTTAGGGTCAATGAACTTGAGTGGCCAAATGTCTGAATTTCTAAAGATAAATATTTACAGATTTACAATATGTCACTGACAGAGTTCCAGTTACTCCTCTGTAGAACACATTTGCATTTACATGCCAGAAAATAAATGTGTATTTAGATTACAGATGTGCTATGAGGAAGCTAAATAGTGGCCAAAAAGTTTAAGATGATTAAAAAATAGAACGTAGAAAGTCATAGGATTATGTCAAGTCTAGAAAATGTTTTGTAATACTTAAAAGTAATATTGGAGTTATACTGACAATTTCTTTAAATAAAATTCATTAACATTTGAATTACCTTAGTCCTTCCTAGAATGTAATACAACAACATAAATCATCAACACTTCATTTTCATGTTCCTGCTCCTGATGTCGACCTCCTAGATGGCACTGTTGGGCTACACACAGGTGTGATCCAAGACGGCAATCTGTTCTTGGGGTTGGTTTTTTTTTTTTTTGGCTCTGGTTTACTGCCTGTTCCACCAAGGACGTGGCATTTTTTTAATTAAGACAACGAGGATAACATCAAATGATTAAATTCCCCAATCAGTTGTCCAGATTTCTCCTGAGATTTTAACCTTGAGTGCGTAATAAGAAAGTAATAGTGCGGTCAGTTCTGTGCACTTTGCACAAATGCAGTTGAACTCCCATCCATTCTGAACAACCTGATAAAGGTGATACATTTCCAGCTTTAATAGGATCAGTGGCAGGATGAGAGAGAGTGCATCGGCTTCGATGGTATACACTATCAGCCCTGATATCTGATGTGAAGTGTGGTGGTGTAAGCTACGGCTACTGACTGAGCTTTATTTAACCAAAGCATGACAAGAAGTCTCACTATTTTGTCAGAGTAAAAACTGATTTCATCATCTGAAGAAAATCTACATTAATTTACACATTATTCATATGGACCATGTGAAAAAACTGATTTCATCATCTGAAGAAAAACTACATTAATTTACACATTATTTATATGGACCATGTGAAAAAACAGTAAAAAACAAAAACATCTTAATCTCATTAAATGATAGGTAATATGAACCAGTGTGTCATCAGAGTGACTTTGATGTCAGGCAGATGGATGAATGGATCCAGCCTGGCTCTTGTCTCAGAGACAACACAAACGATGTCTCTGTCCTGCTTGCATTTGCACACACAGCATTCCTGAAGAGTAGACAGCCCGATAATGGCCTTTTTTCCACAGCTGAGGTTTGCTTTTATAAATGTACGCCGAGGAAAATCAAAGAGATTCTATTCATGGGAGAGAAAATTGCTTCCTTGGCGTTGCTTTTGTGCGCCGCCGTCAGATGTGAACGGTGAACATCATGTGCCGGACAATAATGGGATATTTGGCTTTCACACAGGGACGATGATGGAGTCCTCCTTAAGAGTTTTCATCAAAAAAAAAAAAAAAAAAGGACACAGAAATAATACAAATAATAATAATTTAAAAAAAAAACCACTGGATCCTTCCTTTTTTGGACTTCGTATGAGGATGCCTGTTTTGTTGCAATGTTTCGGGTATACACACCTCTCAGATTGATTATAACTATGGTGACTAACTATAGTCCATAGTCCAAAAACTGTACTATTACTTTGACTTAACCATTTTGGATATTAGTTTGCAAACTCTACTTTTGACCCCATCTAAATTCTTATGACTTTTAACTCTGAGTTTAACCGAAATGGCACAAAATATTACGATATGATTTCTCTTTAGGCCTGAAGCGATACAACTCACTATAAATATTAAATCGGGTGAATTTTAAAAAGTAGCTGACCCACATACTGTATGCTGAAGCATTTTATAAAAACACTCTAAGGAAAATAAAATTAGCTGTTGTTCAAAATGTATTTGCGCTTCAATCTTGTTGATAATCTTGCAATACTTCTCAAGTAGGTGCCACGTGAGCAGGCCGGTAGTGTGAAATTCCACGCATGCTCACACAGTGCAAATGTAAGCTTACATTAATTGTTTCTAAAACCCCACAGAGTGTCTCTGACCTGCTGGTTAATGGCATACATGGACATGAATGTAAGAAAGTAATAAATAAAATCCCACCGCTGCTGCCAACCCCTTTGGCCAAATGAAGACACTGACTGTGTTGCCAATCAGTTCCTGTCAAACCAAATCCCACTAGAGCCCACACGTACTTCCACGCTAGCCGGTCTGGTCTGGCTCCCTGCAGCAGGTCGGCTGATTTTCTGACTGACACAACCATTAGAAATTGCTATGCCTGTCTAAATCCAAGCTCCGTTATAGATTATCCACTGGGTGAGTCTCTAAGGACGGGACGGATTCTCTTCACCTGCACCCAGGTGAGGCAAAACAGACAGACAGACTGACAGGCAGGTCATTTTCCAGTGAGCAGTAGACTCTGTCCAACTGCAGGCTGCTGCTATAACGATGAGTGAATTCCAGCCTAAATATGCAAGGACGAGGAACTAATGATGAAGTGAACCAGTGACAGTGGAAAGACAGGCTATGCAGGAGTGTACAGCTGGAGGTGAGTGTCAGTTTGACAGACTCAATTTACAGGCTGTGTGGCTTCGTGCACCGTATGATTTCACATTATAAATGAGGAAGAGCGCGCACGGAATTTATACGACCGAAGAGTATGGACGTTATATGACCTTCAACAAGTAAAGCCTCGCACACAGGCTACAAACTTAAACCTGGATGTTGGGCATATTCATATCATACAGTTTAAACACTTTTTTTATGTAGAAATTGATAAGTCTGAGGACAGGACAAGTTAAATACATTTTTTAGGGCTAATGTTAGACAAAAACCCTGGGTCAATCAATAAAGATAGAGGAGACATTCTTTAAAATGATTTTTCTTTATTTTTCCCTGTTGGTTCTTTTGTTATACATATCACTAATGAGTCAAATAGGCTCAAAGGAGTCTTATAACATATTTGTAGTTTAACAAGTGGACCAATGGATAGCCCTGTGTGAGAAAGTTTCACTAAGGCTGCTCCAAATTTGACTGAAAAAGCAAACACAAATACAACTCTCAACAAATCCCACATAAAAAGATTTGTATTTTAAAAAAAAACAACAAAAAACTCTGTGTTCGGCTGTTCAACCAGTCACACAAACCACGACGTGAATGGTGAGGCACCATTAATTTAAGGTGGTTTGATTTTACAGATTTCAGATGAGAATTTGATCTCTATACCCATTCTAACTTTAAAAATATAAGCTGTGCTCCAAAAAACCTTAGAGGAGAAACTAAATACAGAGTCAAAAAACAGGGACAATTGGGAGACAACGCAAACGCTTCCTGAGGTTTTTGTTGTGTCTGTATAAATGCAATAAAGAATGATTTTACAAATGAAGTTTACACACTCCTTGGGCTCAAATATCACTAATTAATAATACAAAAAAAAAAAGAAAAACAAAAAAAACCCAGAAGACAATAAGTAGTACTAAAAATCATCTACATACATCTTACATAACCTTTCAGCCTCAACCTTCACAAAACAAAAAACTATGACATATTTGAGGAAAACTCCTAAATTTCTGAGGGAGCACGGAGCTGTCTTGAGCAGAGTTGGTCGTTGTCTTCTCACTCCTTCCTCCGTTTCTTGTCATGGTAGTCGTCTTTTGAGCGGCCACTGGTGGACGGCCTCTTGGAGCCGCCGTGCTGTTTGGCCTCTTCCAAGAACTTGTCCAGACCGAAGGGATCCTCTTCAAACTGAACTGGTCCTTCCCTTCTGTGAGCGTGGTCAGCGCCAGTGAAGTCTTTGTTGGGAACAAATCGGCTGTTGGAGAAAAAAATAAAAAGAATATGTTGATATGTCTCTGAATTACAAAGTGACCTGAACCTAACTTCAGCAATAGTGACTTGTTAGAATATAAATTAACAGAAAATTAATCATATTCTTAATAAACATAACTACAATCAGCACTTGATTTTGTTTAATGAAATATATGAAGTTTAAGAGTTAAGGAAAATAAGGGTAAATACTTGTTGCGCATCAGGGAGTCAAGGTCGTCTGTGTATGCATCCTTGTCTATGTTCTTGCTGGGCCTGTAGATGTTTGAAGCCATATCTCTGCCGCTGCGGAACGGCTGGTCGTACACGTTGTAGGTCTCATCTTCTCCACCAGCGAAACCACTATCCATGCCCTGGAGAAGAAGGACAGTTTGAGATTTTACGAGGTCAACAGATCTATTTAAAAAGAAGTGGGAAATTCAGTTTGAAATGTATTTAAATTTCTTACCTTGCTCTGATTGAAGAGCCTCTGGTCGTACTGGGCTTCACTAGAGGACCGTGGGTTGGGCATCCCAAGTGCGATGAGTTCAGTGACTTCTCTTTCCTGGTCTCTCTGCAGTTTGGACCTTAAACACGAGTTAATAAAAAGCTATTCAAAACAATGTATAATAATTCAACATGCATGGTCACAAAGTGTGCCTGAATTGTTTGATGAGGTAATTTCTTTTAAAATAAAACTGGAAAAAAATTAGGCTAATATAACTATGAGAAAAGTTTTATTTTACGTGCCATCAAAATACTGTCACTTTGAACAAACGACTCATAATTCAATCAATGGCAATTCTAAGATAATAAAGTTTCTATGCCTGGAAGCTGCAACTGTGACTTTGACAAACGATGATAAACTCTCCTCATCAGTCAAAACCTGCCAATGGGCTCGGTATTAAAGTAACCAACAGCACAACAGACCTGCAACTGCAATTACCAAAAACTAGAAATTTTTATTTTGTTTTAAAAAAAATTAAATACAACAATAAATCTCTGAATCAATAACTAAGTCCGTTATTTAAATGAGTACATAGAGTAAATGTGAATCTGGTGTATAAAATGACAGATGTGTACGTGTTCCATGTGATGCTCCCCTTGTGTCTATTACCTCTTGTCAGGAGCTGCCCTCATTATGTTTCTTTCCTGCTGCCTATCTCTCCTCCTGTCATGACGAATCTCGTCGCGCTCCCTGACCTCGCCGTCATCACCGGAATCTCGTCGCGCTCCCTGACCTCGCCATCATCACCGCCTGATGCGACAAATAAAAAAAAAAAGGAAACATTAGTAACTCATGTATGGGAAGAAAAAGAAATCAGTGCACATGTGGCGAAAAAAAAAGATGTTTGAAACACACTGACAAAGAATCAAGAATATTTGTATTGACTTGGTTTTGTAAACAAAGTCAGTGAGAGTAATCATTGTGTAATTAATCATCATGATCTGACATGTTGATCCTTGACACACCTTTGTCCCCGTGACTTTTGATGCCCGCCCGCCGGTCTCGAGCCATTTGAGCCAGCTCCCTCAGTTTCTCCTCTTTCTTCTCCTTCTCCTTCTGGGCCATCTTCTTCTCTACCTGAGCTCTCATCTCCACAGCTTCTCTGGCCTGAAGACACAAACAGGATTTTAATTTGATCAGTTTCAGGTTTAAAGTCATTCTTGCCAGATGCTACATCTTTTGTAGTGTTGTTCAGCTCAGGAAGACAAAAGGTGCAGTACCTTTCTGTCTGCAATGTAGAGGGCCTCGGCCAGCTTGGCGAAGTTCTCATTGATGTGAACTGTTTGCAGGCCCCTGCCGTCAGCGGCCAGACGTTTGTCGAGTGGAATGGTGTAGCCCTGAGGAGAACGCACCACACCACGAAAAGAAACTTAGACAGAGACAGAAATAGCAGCAGGACAGCACTACTAAATACAACAGACAAAACAGTTTTGACACTCAGGTTGTTTTACCTTGGCATTTTTCCAGTTAGAGATGCATGGAGGAATCTTCCACTCCTGCTGCTCCTTTACTGTCATCTAAAGAGAACAGAACATAAAAAAACATTTAACAACTCTGTCAGACGTGCCAAAGTGAAAAACTTATCTCAGAACTAATGGCACCTTTCTGCTTGGAGAATGCATGACGGGAGCAGGAGGGGAAGGAGGTCCTCTGGGAATCTTCTTATTGATTCTGAAACACAGGCAATGCAATTGATTTAATTACTTTTTTACACACATGGTTAAGTTGCAGTCTCCAATATATCTCCTACACATAACTTAGTGTCACAGTGAAGGCTGGTTAACTTACTTGAAACGTGGAGGCTCCATGGGGTCCTTCTGCATTTCCACCATGCGGATCACTCTCTGTTTGGCCCCGGAGTTGAAAGCTACTCCCTGCTGAGATGGAGTATATCTTGGAGAAAAGAAATGAAAAAGAAGTTATAAAATCAAGAGAGGAAATAGTTTCAATGACTGGCCAATACCAGTGCTGAATATTACACGAATAAACTACTAATACATACCTGATGTACTGGGCAGGGGCTTGTTTGTCTGCAGCTCTTACAGGCATAGCAGCTGCGATTTTCTGTGACACCAGCTTATCCAAGGCAGACCGGGTCTTCTCTGTGAGCTGCAGGCAGAAAAAACAGCCACTGATGTGTCAAACTTATCACAGAAAAATGTCACAAGAAATCTTTAAGAGTGATAGTGGTCCACACATTTTAGTTTTTGTAGTTGGGTAATTCCATACAACAAAAAATAACAGAACATTAAATAATATATTAGAAAAACATACATATATAAGCTAATTTTAACCCCAATCCCAAACAGCTGACCTCCTGTACAGCCTCCTCATCAGGTCTCTGTAGCTCTGGAGCATCTTCATTTAAAACTTCTTTTGGTAAAAGGTCTGTGTACTTACTGAACACCACCTGTAACAACAGAAAACAGAAAAAAGGTTAACACATCTTAAGAGATGTCCATTGTTGTGTTCTGTAATTGATGTGTACCACACAGGAAATTGGAACTGCAGGGTGTAAGGCTTTTGGGGCACTCTGCATACCTTATCTTTGCCCTGTCCTTGTTTGGCGATGGCATCATATTTTATTTTCCCCTCTGCGTCCACCTGCACTGCCAAGGCGTTGGATGTCTTTTTTTTCCTGCCCATTTCCAAAGGAAATTGGGCCACATGGATCTCTGGGAAAGCTCCGCCATCTCCAAAGTCCTGGAAAAACACAGGGTGAGAATACATAAATATAGATCAGAAGTGTTTTATAGATTTATTAAAATATGCTTTTGAAGACCAGGACAATTTGGTGACTTGCTTCTGTTATTTACCTCAAGCGTACGAGGCACCCAGCCTTTCCTTTGTCCGTAGAAAGGGGGCTCTCTGGTGGAAGAGACCAGGGCAGTGGAGTAGGACTTCTGGGCCCGAAGTCTCTCCTCTGCTTCCAGCTCATCTTGTGACAGCTGAGTGGGTGCCGGTAAAAAGCTGCAAAGAAAACAATAATTTATTGATGTAAAGAATTACAACAGCTATTGCAACTCTCTCACATAACAAAACAAAACGAATTTAAATTATTTACACTTAAATAAAGATACAACGAACAGTAAAACTTAAATACATTAACTAAATCCTAATCGGAACGTTTACGTGGCGTCATTTTAACGTAATGCATTTATTGTGATTCTGAATAAATAGCTAAACACACTACACTACACTACATTCCTTTATGTTATTCCAGCATTCTCATCTTTAATAACAACGTTTCAATAAACTGTTGTTCTCACACGGCTGTTAATCTGTGTTATTTACACGCATATGCGTAGCTAAGCTAACGGGCAGACTATTTTATCTCGCTAGCATCAGTTGACTGGCTGATGTAAATAAAGGCTGTCGACTAGATGAAACGCTCAACACAAATACAAGACCCTTCATGTGAACGGAATGACTGTTTTGGTAACGTAATAGAATAAATAATTCGACATTTCAAACCACAAAGTCGAGCTTACCTCGTTAACGACATTTTCTTTTTCCTCTTGATCACACAATGGACATGCGCAGTGTTCTTCAATGGCGGACAGAAACAGTGTAGTGAGCGCTATACTGCTCCCTAGAGCTGCGGAGTGTAAAGCACAGGCTAAAACCTCAATTTACAAGAAAATAACTGAAAATGACTGTAACACAATGAAAAAATAAAGTAATAATAATATAAATAAAAAAAAACATAAATAATAATAATAAATTGTACTGTTGAGTCCCCGGGGTGCGTAGGGACGTGTCAGCAGCGGAACGACGGAGGGCGTGGGTTACAATACCATATGTCTGCCAGCACCCCTCCACTCTCCAGCTGTATGATAAAATACTGTAATTATTTTTGCATTAACAGAGTTTTACACAAATGACTAGCAGGGAATGTAAAATGTAACATCAAATTAAAAAGAAATGCCTTCAGTTTATCCCCCCGTTTAAAGTCACCATATTTGGGTGTATACTGTACACATTAAGGTATTTTAGTAATTCAGGTTTTGGGGCCAAGTATGTTGTCCAGGGATAGAGACAAGAACGAAATTAAAGCCTTCTATGTTTTTAAGGCCGACGGCCCCCAAAACTGGAGCAACAAGACAGTATTATAGATAGATAGATACTGCATATATATATGGGATACATTTTTGCTGTACTAACTAACTTACTGCAAAGGTAAGCAAAAACACAAGGTCATAAAATCATGTTGAATTTCAAACACATGTACGGTACACTGAGTAGTATTTAGGAAATATGAAATGATCTAATCAACTGAAAATGTCATGACACTGCTGCAGTGCTTTCACAGACACCTAGGGGTTGTACACCACCTGTTGAAGACCTCTTGACTAAATTAAAATGTTGCTGCCAAAATAGTCTCTAGGACAGAGCAAGAATGGACATCCTTTGCAGAATTATAAAGTTCTTATAAAGTGACAAGTTGAAATTGAAAGTTTTGATTGGATTTGCTGTCAGCATGTCAGGAAAGAGTCCAGAGAAAAATAAAATATGGCTTCCTCTACACCACCCTAAATTCTGTGATGGCTGAGGCTGCAAAATCTGATGAAACTATGACGCCAAGATGTATTGTCAGAAACCAAATTCAGTACTTTCTCTAGGTCTTGGAGCTTTAAAAAGAAAATATAAATAAATAAGATTCTCTGGCATTTGAAACTTTCAGTGAAATTTGAAATATCTCTTTATTTGTTGGGTTTCGAAATTCTAAAAATTTCAAGTTTGTTCAAGTTGTTGCCGCAAGGTGCGTTTCAATATGTGAAAATCTGTTCCAGGTAATTAGATTATACTGTACACGATCCAATGGATGAGTCACCACCAGACGAAACGTGTATTAATATTTCAGGCAAAAATAGTTTTTCGTCTTCTAGATTTGATTGAAAGAAATGCTAAACTCTGAAGGCAGTAATGATGTCTGTCAATCTTGTTTTTTTTTCCTGTTAGGTTTCCAGCTCTGTCGTCAGAAAAGTATATGGGATGGTGCCAATTGTGTAATGCCTGTGTAAAACCAGCAGATACAGAACATCTGTTATTTATTGATACTCTGTTTCTAAATGATGGACAGACACACAGAGAGAGAGAGAGAGATGAGAGAAGTATCTGGAGGAGACATCCAGTACGCTGTTTCTTATTCTATCTTGCTCTGTCGGCTAGTTTCTGCTCAAAATAGAACATCTTAATGAGGATTCTATAAAGATGACTTTAAGCAGCTGTGGAGACAAACTGAAAACACTGCGACTGAGTGAAATCGGCATCTGACTAAAACGCTCACAATGTTGTAGTGATGGCCCTTCTGCAGTACAGGTGTACCAAAAGTAGTTTTACCAGTACAGTGATTGTTGATAGTAGCTTTACATTGCTGTATGTTGTGTCAGAAATCTTAAAAAGCAGAAATATCCTGAATGAAATTACAGCCGATGCAGAAATCTTAAAAAGCAGAAATATCCTCTCTGTACTCTGTACTCTGTATAACATGGCCGACAATCGACCTTCTGTTGCCGTGGGAAATCTCATTCGAATGCTGAGATAAATAGCATTAAACAGGTCACCACTACCATGTCTATAATATACTGTAGGTGATGCTGATTAGAAAAAGAGAGGGTAATTGAAGAGGCAGCACACACTGGAGGGCAGGCACGAGGGCATGGACAGCAGGCAGGGAACCTCGGGGGAGACAAAACTAGAAATGAGACATTAAATATAATAACACAGATTCAGTGATATACGATAAGGGAGAGATGTGACAGAGAGGGCTGTCTTCATCATTACTCCCTTCTTCACGTCCACGCAGAGGAGGAAAAGGAGTCCGTCTGTCATTCTGTCAGTAGCAACACAGTTTATTAATGTGACACGGGGTAAAAGGACACGTCAAAGAAGATCAGTCACTGTTCTGTGGTACATGACGTCGAGACTTTAAAGAAGAAACAATCACCTGGTCCCTGTTCTTTAAAACTACACCTGGTACTTGACAGTGACATCCCCTCCAACCACACTTTCTGCTAAATGAATGATAAAGTAGGCATTGTTTGATGAACAGGATTTTCCTCAAGTAAAATCACTCATTTTAATGAATTTTAATGCTAATCAAAAATAGTCAATATAGTCAATGGTATTGCATAGATCGATGTTATGCAGTGATATAATTAGCAAGGCATTGCAGAGGCACGGTTGTCACACTCCCTTTATCATGCACATATTTAAAATAAACTTTTGAATAATAAATACAGAACAACATGGTTTGTACTTGTGTACCCAGTAATATGACTAGAAAATAACTATTTGATCATACACAGCTTCATCTTTCTCTCTGATGGAGGTTAATGCTCTGGTAAAATGTTGACGGTCCCTACACCAAGCACTAGCTCTGTACCTGTACCGCCTTTAAATATAAAATGTTAATACCACTTTTCCCACGCAACATCTCGTGCTGTCTATAAACAGAGGAACAAAGAGCTTGATTGTCGAGCTGCATATAAATAAGGAAATACTTTTGGAAGTTAAGCTCCCGTACCGAAAATATTCATGTCACAATTATTATTAGATAACCACAAAGAAGGAAGCGATAACAAAGCAGGAACCTGGTGGCTGGGAAAGTGCTCAAAGTGGGCCAGCAAACAGGAGGGAGGGAGGGAGAGAGAGGAAGACAACTGGAGAGAGAGAGAGTAATTTAGATACAAGAGATACTGAATGAGCAACGGCACATTTAAAAAATGCTGCAGTGGCACTTTGCTTGTTCATTGTTTCTCAATAACGCCGCACCTGAAAACGGTCGCAGATTACAAACGATGGTCTATTTCCATTCATGTGTCAAATGAGGATAAGCAGCAAATGTCTGTACATTTCTGTAGTGTTTAGATAAATCAAAACGCTGTCATTTTTTCAACGTTTTCCTTTGACATTTGACATTGTTCAACCCTTTATCAAGCCTTTATTTGTGTGTGTTTTCATTTATTTCTGCCCAAATAAACCTGTATATAGTTATATTTAAAACTTCCTTAACACCTTTGGACTATGTGCAGTTAGCTGAGAAGATAAACATATGCAAGATTAAATGTTGAAAAGGCCGTGTGCGGCTAAAGGCAGCAACAAAAGAACCAAAAGAAAAGGAAATAAAAAAGTCAATCCGATGGCCAATTCTCCTTTTTCTGACACTGACCTTAACCTAGCGCTGCTGAAGCTGCAGTCAGTGCTATGTGGCACTTTTTGAGTGGAGTCACTCCGGCTCAGCATATTTCTTTGCAATAACACAAGGTCTGAGTAAAAGGAGGGGAAAAAAAGGAGCAAAACAAGGTCAGCAGGGGGCTTGTGCAGCAAACCAGGGCTAAATAAACCACAGGCACGGCCAGGAGAGCCTTCGCTGTAATCTGAGGGGAGGGTGGCAGCCATTAGGGTCACAAAGAGGAAGAGGATGAAATGCCACCACTTCTGTGTCCCTGTGCAGAATTTGTGCAACTTTATCAATTTGCTGTGGTGATTTGGTCTATTAATATGCGGCACATGTTCACATTCATCTAGGTCACGCTTGGGTGACTCCGTCTGCAGGGGAGTGTATGTTCCACTGTTATGAATGTGGTGCAGTAACATGTGAAAAAATGTATACGGTTACGCACCGTATTCTCTTTGCTGCCTGTAAACAGGATTAAATCTATTCCAAGTAGGCTCTACTAAAGCAGGGTATTATTTTTGCTAGTATATGAACATGTTCATTTATTTTTAATGAATTAGAGAAATGTGAGTTAATGATTATTCTATCATGAATGAACCATGTTATGCAGGGATGTCCACATTGTGATTTAATTCGGACAGTTTATGGTCGCTGCTACACACTTTAGAATTATAGAATTTTTTTTTTGTTTGTTTGTTTTTTAATTCAAATTGCTCATGATCTACCAGCCATCTACTGGTAGACCTTTATTGTATTGTAAAGTAAGAGGCTGATTACGTTTTGAATGCACCACTAGATGGCACCGCCACTCAAAAGTGTTGTAACAGCAACCCCCCACGTCTCTCTCACTCTCTGCCTCTCCCTCTCTCCCTCTCCCTCTCTGTCTCTCTCTCTCTCACGCACAAATCCAAGTTCATACACACACAAGAGTGACAACAACAAAGATACCCGCAGGTGTTGCCTCAACCCTGAGCTTTACTACACTGCATGAGCTTTTGCATCTAAAAAGGAAGACACTGAAATAGCAGAGATGAAGCTGTGTCTTTTAAGTTTTTTTTTTTTTCGTTTTTTTTTCTCCTTGTGAGTGTGTGCTGGTGCACAGTTCTGCTCCAGTGCCAGCGAAAGCATTAGCAGCAAGCACAGGAGTGAGACAGTCAGCAGCCACCATTCAGGGCCTCTTTACATCAGCAGGCAGGGCGTCTCAGATACGGCTCCCCATCTGTGTTTGGACGTCCATTCACAAAGCCTTGGGGGAGATGGAACCCCATCAGCACCAACATTTGCTATGAAATTTGGAGAGTCATTTATTTCCTAACAGGAGCAAAATTGCTATGTCATTCGGATGAAGCTCGCTCGAAGCTAATTAAATTTCTGTCAGCGCACGGTGACAGGCTTTTTAGGTATTTATGCAGACT